TGCTGGTCTGTGTAACCTTTTGTAACAGAAGGGTTCTTTTATCATTTGAGCTTTTGGTTTCATATTTCTCATCTGCTCTTTTCTGCCAGCTTAGCTGAGAGCTTAAATCAAAACCTAATTAGACTACATATGCTGTTTAGGAAAAAGTTCTTGGAAAAGTAATGATTCATATAAGCTTTGATATTTCCAGATAACACCTAAAAAGAAATGTGATTTTAATTGTTTTAAATAACTTTCAATCATCCTCTTACTCAAATAAAAGTGGTTGAACACAGCTCTTTGATCAAAAAAAAATTCTTCAGTAACAGAAATACCAACTGTATATTCCTATCAGCTACACCATCTATGTTTAATGATGAAACCCTTTATTGATATGCATGTTTTTCAACTAAGAAGTATTATAACTCAGCCATAATAACTATAATAACTATAAATAGCTATAACTCAATACCATATATATATCATATCATATACAGTATATATACCAGCATCATAAACCTCAAATCAGAAATTATCAAATTATATTTAATTTCTGAAAAACAAAAATCTATGTATATGTGTTAAGCACCTAGGATGTCAGCCAAAGTTTGCTTTTAACAATATTGATATAAAAAGAGTTGGTATTTTTTATTTTTCTCCTTTGATATTCTAGGAGGGAAACTGAATTATTTTAATGTTGTTTTAATTATAATGCATTACCTGAATTATACATTTCAATATTTTAATTAGCACTAGGGAAGACCACATTATAAACACTCACAACTTTCACTAGGTTAAAGAAACCTGCATCAAAAAATGATGACTAGTGTCATGTTCAAACATTAACAAATACATTTGCCAAGAAAGCCCTGGTCTCTGATACTTATCACAAATATGTAAGTTCTATCTCTAAAAAAAACAAAAAAAAAATTAAAAAACTTTACATTTTTATGTCCTACTTAGTCATTTGACCCAGTTCTTAATCAGAAGTAGCCAGAATTTTCTTTTATTCCACAGAGCAATTGCCTGCTGCCTTAAGAATAAGAACTTGAGTATTTCCCCTGATAGAAGGCTGACAAGTCTTAATGAGGAACTCTGTCTTCCAGCATCAAGCCAATACAGTTTCTGTTAATTGTCTGAATACAGTACTGTGTCACACTGCATATAAAAATGATATTCTGGAAATCAAGAAATTATAGATTTTGTCAAGACCAATCCCTGCAAATATAATCACAAATTTATAATATGCAAAAGCAAAATTTCATAAATATTTTTTAAAAATCTAAATTAAATTTAGGACAGAAAAACAGAAATGTAGATCCAGACTTTCAGTTACTCCGTTACTTTAGTGATTCAATAAAGCTACAGCAATTTATTATGTCATCTAGTTGAATATGCAATGCATTCAAATATTTTTCTTATATTTACTGTCTAACCACTACTGTTGTGTGACTATCCTAACAAGGAAACAATATAGAGAGACATCAGACTTTAAAGATAGTTTCCAAGAAATAAATTGAAGACGCGTTTATATTGAGACAACACTGATATCCCTGAACAACACATAAAGTCTACCGACATTCTAATAATATAAAATGAATATGCATGTTCATTGATACTATCAAAAAAGTGGGTTTCCTAATGTTCTAAATGTGCAAAATTCTCAGCATTTTCTACAAAACTTTCAAAAACTTCAATGTAATTCAATAACAAGTTTAATAGTAAGACCTTAATTACAGGACAGCACTCTTAAAAAAAAAAAAGGAAAAACAGCAAGAAAAAAAAGACTGAGTATACTTATATATTAAAACCAAAGCTCACCACATAGAATAGCTAAATGTGAACTGATAAGTCAGACAGGTCCTGCCTGCAAACTTCTGCAATACCAAGCAATTAATTTAAAGTATTCTTCAGAGACCAGGAGACATGTAGTGGAACATGGAATATTTTGAAAGTAAAGTTCATTTTCTTCTGGTTTCAGATAAATGAATAAAGATAAAGTCTGAGGTTTAGACGTGTGTATCAAAGGCATTTTTGAGAGGTACTGTTTGTTATCACCAATAGTACTTTCAGGAAAAGCATATCTTGCTGGACTGAGAAATCCCCCATGATTTTCACACTTTGCTATGAGAAGTGACTGTGTCAAAGGTGAGGGATAGTGTTGAGGAGACATGGGGAAGGAGAAAGCAACACCCAATTAAAAGTTTTAGGTTGAGTGTTATTCAGTGTAAATTTTATTGATTTTTATCATCTAATATAATTGGTGAACTCGGTGAAAAGCTTTTTTTCTGTGAATGGGGTCACCCTCCCAGAATGCTAAAGATGTCTTAAATAGAAATATACTATTTAACAAGCCTTTCATTGCATTAAGCCGAGGCTTACATACATGATTAATGAATAAAGGCAGTATTTTCAGTATATTGTTTAAAAGAAAAGCAGTTTACCACATAAATCATGACATGAACCAATAGCATGTGTCTAAGTCACATAGCTAGATGTCAAATTATTTTCTGTTCTGATTCTTAAGCTAAGAATTATCTAAAGATCCAACACATTAAAATAATAATTTCCTGATTGAGTCTTATAAATGAATATACAAAACACCAGAAAGCCCAGCAAAACATTGCATTAGTCACAAAGTATTTGAGTTTCAAGTTTCACCTCTACACTCTTCGGAGTAGCCCACGCACAAGCACATCAACACACACGGCTATCAGACAGCTGGACGTGCCATCCGCTTCTCTCTCTCGGCCACCCGCACGGATCAAAAGGCTCCAGAGGGACCCAAAAGCACCAAGTCAGGGCGCGGGGCAGAGAGAGGCTTCTCCCCTCCTGATCTCGGCTGTTTGGGCTGCCTTGCAGCACCTTGGACAGCGGTCTCCGGGCCCGCCGCTCAGCCAGTATAGCCCAGCCCAGCCCAGCCCAGCCCAGCCCAGCCCAGCCCGGCCCAGCCCCGCGCCAGAGGGCTCATCCCCTGCCCTCCGCACCTGCACTAGCTGGGCACTTGCACTGCCCACCAGACTCCCTGGAAAAAGGGAAAACCCACTAAGTCGCACCCTTGGTTGGGGTTTTCTTCCTTTCTTCTGCTGGAATATCTTTCATTTTTAACACAGACTGGTCGGCCAAATTCTCAAAACATAGAGCAATACCGTCTGGCACTCAGAACTGGAGAGATGTAGGTCGTTGGCACTGTGTTTGTCTAGCTCATTTAAGTTTCACACAATCATCTTAATGTCAACAACTTTTTCCCCATCATTAGACAAATATTCCTTCTCATTGGGTGTCTGCAGGGGAAATCATTATACAGCATACATTTACTGTTCTGTTCATTTTCAACATCTTTTACACTTTCATATTCTGTAGAGCAACTGCGCACTTTGCAGTAAAGTTCAGCCAAACTAAACTGTGACACAAAAAAATCACTTTAAGCAAGTAGATGTTGATCGTTTGGCAGCACAGAATAGTAGGTCAGTTTCTACTTAAAGAGCTACTGAAATGGTAAAGATGTCCTTACAGCAGTAGACATCTATTTACATTTGACACCCTTTTTTACTTTTCCAATTCACTCTGGAAATAAAATGGATTTACATTATCAGTAACTGAGTACATAGTATATATACAATGAGTGTGTACACACACAGTTTGCAACCTAAAAACAGTGGAATCAAAACTACTGATGAATCTACCTTATTCTTGTCAGGTTTAACAAGAACAAATAAATATAGCAACTTTCCTACTTTATCCAATTAGATAATGGGCTAATTCAGCTCCTAGAGGAATTGTGGATTGATTTTTGTGGCAAAGACGTGAAAATTACACTAACGTATTGGTGAATGGGATTCTTTAGGCATGGACTGTTACCATGAAATTATTTGAGAAGGCCCTGCTGAAGTTACAAAGCGCAGAGGTACTCTAGGCCTCCTGTTCAGAGCAGTGATGCCTGTGCACTGTTGTGTTTAACTGCTAAAGCAGAATTTGGTTCAGACTGGTTAGTGTAGGGCTACAGTAGTTGAGATAATCCAGTTCAGGGCAGAAACCATTCACCTCAATAAGTACTGAAACGGGGAAAGAAGGATGCAGGTAGCTATTTTAGGTGCTCAGGACAACACTTTTTTCTGCCCTGTCTTGAGAGATAGGCCAACTAATCTTGTGCAAAAGTAGAGAGAAGGCAACAACAAGAGACAAAGTAGGACCCTCTGCCTTCTAGCACAGGAAAAGAAAAACCTCTGGATCTCTTTGAGCCGTCACCAGTGGCACCAAAGAAAAGAGTTGTGTCTTATCAAAACGTTGTTACCATCACTTCCCAACCAAGGGTCATTGCGCTGCCCTTAAACAGACACCCTCGTCCTCCAGCTTTTCCCAGGTCCACAGATTTTGGCAGAGCACCTGGAAGCACGGTCCCGCTCTCCGCTCCCGAGGCTGCCCGGTGCCACGCCGCTCCGCCGCCCTAGGGCACCGCCGTCCCCGGGGCCAAGTGCCCGACGGAACCCATCCGGAGCCTCCGGAGTGTGCCCTGGCCGCCGCACGGGGACGAAAGCCCAGTTCTGGGGGGCAACCCCGCGGCCCACACCACGGCCCGGAGGGCCGGCGGCCAGGGCAGCACCGTCGGGCAGTCCGGCCTCGACCGCCTCTCCGAGCCCCGCTCATTGTCATGCAGCCCCTGTCGCTGCCTGCCGCCAAGCCGCATCCGAGCCCGCTGGAAGCCGGCAGCCGAGCCGGAGCCAATCGCATATTCATGAGGAGGGGGAAATCCAGCGCTACGCTCCCAGAGGACCGAGGATCACTTCTTTTTGCTTTTTCCCAAGCTTCCCCCTCTCTCTTCCTCCCTTTTAACAACGCGCTAACGGGGGCATCCCAGCCGATACACCCCACAGCTCCGCCTGCACCGTACGAACCGCGGCCGCCGGCGCCAGGGACGAGACCGAAGCAGGCACAAGCAGGACCACGGCAGCCAACAATCAAGCCGAGGGAGGCACGCCAGCCCGCCAGCCAGGGACAGGAAACACAGCAGGGGCTCCTACCTTACAATCCTCAGGACACGATTTCACCGAGTACTCATCCGACTGTAAATATTTCTGGAGCATAACCTCAAACTCTTCATATTTCTCCTGAGCGTGCTGGTCGTAGCGCTGGTAAGCCTGGACGCACTGGCTGCAGGAGCCTTCCCCCCTCAGCACCACATCCAGACTGCAGTTCAAAGTGTCCGGATTGGACAACCCGGCAAACAACTCCCAAAGTGTGTAGGAATTACAAAAGGAAAGGTAAAAATCCGTCAGGTCCCAGCCGGGCGCCGGGCTCTGCCCCGCACCCGGTGGCGGCCCCGACCCCCATGCGCGGCGGGCACATCCGCCTCCGCGTCCCCACAGCTGAAGCACTGCCACGACGAGGACCCCGGGGGGGGACACGTCTCAGGGGCCTGTGGGTGGAGTTCCCTATGGAAAGCAAGCTTTGTCCGTGGCCGGGGCCTCGGTGCCGTTGTTGCGGCTGCCGCGGGCTGCCGCCACCAGCTTGCTGCCGGGGAGGCGGGAGGGCGGGCGAGGGGGGGCGAGGAGTCCGGGGCGCGGGGGGCGCTCGGCTCCCCGCATGCCCGCAGACAGCTCCGGCTCCGCGGCTCCGGCTTCTCGGGCGGCGGCTGCTCCTTCTCTCCGGTCCCCGTGAATTTGGCCTCGGCGCAGAACCACAAGTGATCAGAGAGCAGGACCGTGAAAAACAAGAGCGATGCCAGGGACAGTCGCCATTTCTGAGCCCTCTCTGAATCCGTGAAGGGTTTCTCGTTCTCCCGGGGTGCGAACCAGATTTTTAAGCCGTCATCATACTGCCGACTACACATCCAAGCACCCCTGGTCATATTTTGGGAACGCACAGCCCTGGCCGACTCCACCGTGAGGGCTCCTTTGCCAGTGTCACCACAATATGCATTGACTTAAAAGATTGGGGGGATTTTCTTGTCTGCCTTCCCTTCTCTCTCTCGCTCTTTCGCTCTCTCCCTCTTCCACTCTCCCCCCTCTCTCTTTCTCCCTCTTCTTTCTTTCTTCCTTCTTTTTCTTCCTCTGAGATAATGTTGGTTTTCGCCGGTGGCTCTACCTTGGTCTCACCACAAGAAGCAGCCCCAGTCCATCCAAAGCGGAGTGCCGTGGAGAAGATAAGAGCAATAACGCAGAGAGAGGAGGAGGGAGAGGAGATGGTGGTGGTGGTAGTGGTGATAGTTGGTGGTGGCAGGGCTGCGCGACTGGTCCTTTGCCCCTCTCACCCAGGCATGGTCAGATCGCAGCTCCCCATCTCCCTCCTGAGAAAAGCCCACTGCCTCCGGACAACCGCATGCCGCGTCCCCCGCTGCCGACGGACGGCTCCGGGAGGGCTCCTCGCCTCTTCTTCCTCCCTGCCGCCGCCGCTGCTCCTCTTCCTCAGCCCCGAGCCGCGGCACAGATGCCTGCACCGCTGTCCTAGTCTCCTCTTTCTTCTCTCCCCCCTCCGCTCTAACTGGAGAGACGCTGCTGCAAGGCTCCCGGAGCGCTGCTGAGGATGCTGAAGAGGAGGAGGAGGAAGAGGAAAGGAGGAGGAGGCTGCCACGGGGCCGCCGCCGCTGCTGCTGGTTGACAATGGGCTGCGGGCTGCCGCCGCTGCTGCCGCCGGGCGCGGTGTCCCCGGGCGCACGGGGCGGAACTGCCTGGCTGGGGGCCCCCGATGGGCACAGGCATCTTGGGCCCCTGGGCTAAGTTGCCGCCATCTTCGTCCTGGAGAAACACTTTTTTGGGGGGAGCTCTCCCTTTTGCGTCATCTCCTCCCGCGCCGAGATCTCTCTATCCTGGCGCATTGGCAGCAGCAGCCACTCTGTCTCCTCCTGCCTGAGGAGGAGGAGGAGGAGGTGGGAGAGGCACTGGGGACCACATGGCCCCTCCAAAGGGCTTCATCGGTGCAACTCTTTCTACTCATCTCACCGAAGGGACTGCTCGGTACCACTCTCCACCCCTCTCTCCTTCCCATTGTGGCCATGGAACACCATGTCCATGCAGGATACTGTCTGGAGAGGTCTGTTGCCGTGTCTGTCCTTGTCATAGCAAATCACAAATATCATATGAAACTCCGGGCTCTGCATCCTGGCCGGTTATGGCCACACAGTAAAATGCCTGATCACAGCTGCTTGTCTTTCAGTCAGCAAACTGGAAAGGAAAATGACCATAAACTCCAAGCTGTTCCCCCAGGAGAAGATTTGCAGAACCTCGGTCCAGCACTTGAGCTGGGTAAATACTACCAGTCTGTGTGTGTCCCAGTTTAGATGTCAGTGCCTAGAGATGAAGACAGAAAGGTCAGGCTTAGCTCTCCTGCTAGGGTGATGAATCGCTGATGATTTCCACTTGGACCCACTGCAGAAATCAACCACCTTCTGTCCTTTCTCTGTCCTGAGAAACTGTTAATGGCCCTTGAACAAGGTGTATAATGTATCCCAAAAGGCGACTTGTCATATTTTTTGGTTAAAAAAAGATTTTTTTTTCTTAACAAACATGACCATGTATAAGCTGATATAGCTTGGTGATAGTTCTCAAATTCAACTTTGAAAGCTGTAGTGGAAAGAAATCTAAAACTAAACCATACCAGAGGAGAACAAAACTTGTACTGTTTCTGACTGCAGCTGTCGTTAACTGAGGGGTGAGCTTACGAAGGAATGTACTGAAATTTCTGTCACTTTGAGCAATAAATCAAGGCTAGATGTCTTTCAAAAGGAGACAGTATACCTCTAACAGGAGATGCAGACCCAAGGGAGGAATTGCAGAGAGAGATACTATGCCCTGTGTTATGCTGGGGTCAAAGTACATTATCATAATGGTCTCATCTGGCCTTAAAAGATCTTTGAGTCAAATACTACACTGAGCAGGAGTTATCTGTTGATTTTATTTTGATAGGCTATTTAAAGACACAGAAATAAGTGCTAATATTATAAGGAAAGGTCTACAGTACTCAAATCAGAATGCATGTTTGCAATTCTTAGTCACACCATCTGCTAATGGTACATTATTAATCTTGATCTTGAAGCTTTGATTGCAATGATTTGACACACTGGACCCTGTACTGAATCTGCCTTTTTGTAATGCTTTCTGTTCCAGGATGATACTGTGACCAAGCTTTTAAAAGGGAATCAGAACAACTTTACATCTCTAAAATGTAATGTCATTTATTTAGTTTCCTTTTGCTAGTTTGATTATGAATTTCGTGATAGAATAAAGGGACTGCAGCAGAAATACAGGAAAAAAAAAAACCTAAACCAAACCATACACAACTGGGATAAGCAACAGGTTCCTGATATCAGGTTTGAGATTTTCAAAATGTGCTCTATGAAGATACGTGGCAGTGGCTGCGTAATTATTCTGTGTTTGACAGCCAAACTTGGGGTGAAGAAAATTGGCATTGGGGTCTGCACCTGGCAAACAGGGTTAATTTATGTACTTTTTTTTTTTTTTAGTATTGTTTCCCTTTTGTCCTGTTGGGAACATGAGAGGATAATAGGCAATTTTACAATCCACAAAAAAATGAGAAAAGTTCTTTATCTCCATAGCGGAACTTCAAGAGTTGGAAATGAAAACATTCTGGCATTCAAATCTCATCCTAACTTAATACACAAATGAATTCCTAAGTCTGTGTTCCTCTGTTTACACTTGTCTAAGATCAAAGTACATATACTCAATATGCTAGGCTTGTTTAGATACACTTGACTTCTCAAAAATAATCCATTTTTGTGTCATGTAATATTTTCACACATTTCCCAACTTTTGCCTGGAAAAACAGTGAGAGTTCTTTTTCAACACCTAGCAACAAACTCTAATAAGACATTCAGTATTTTTGAAATGTATGCATCCTTGCTTTTCCAGTGGCAGTTTTCTGTAACAAAGAATATGTCACACAGAACTGTTGTTTTGTCTGTTGCGTTTTCCCTAACGCCCCATTCCCTCTCCACCTAGCGTGGTAAATAACTTGCAATGTTAGCTGCAATAGCTGGTTCCTGATGGATATGAACAAATGCAGTTCAGTTCTCTGGTGCCCCTTAGTGTTAGGTCTTGGAGCTCAAGGGAAAAAATAAGGCTATAAAACAATGCATGAAAATCAAGAAGCTGCATGTGGTGGAGGAAAGAATCTGAAACTGCTTTCTTTTTACTTTTTTCTTTTTCTTTTTACTGTAGCTACTTTCTCTCAAAGTTCCTTCAATATTTTTAATCAGAAATCTGATGTAAATAACGGCCACTTATTTAAAATAGCTTAACGAATTATATGAATGTGAAGAAAAGGGAAAAACCTTCCTCAAAAATACCATTACAAAAGTATGTACCCCTATTCATCATTCTTCTTAAATAACTCTAGTGGTGCAAAATACTCGTTTCACTTTGAAATTTCACTTTTTACTGGGAATATTTATTACTCTTGTTCCAAAGCTTGGCAAGTGTGAGGAACTCATGGAAATCTGCCTCTCTAACTGGTGGAGTCACCAGATGTTTCACAGACGGATCTCCTTAAAGTAATGTAGTTCAGTGTCAGCTCTGCTGTATTGTGCTTTAATCAATACAATCAGAGCTGATGTTCTATAATTGTTTGACTCATAATATGTAAGATAGATGATTTATCAAGCAGTGAGGACAAAGTCCAATAGAATGAGCATGCACAAACTCAAGATACTTGAAGCTATTGTTTCACCTGCATACCATGTGTTTTCTTTGTGAAAATACTTTAGCTTAATAAGCAGAAATATTTGACATAACATTTTAATGGTAATAAACTTGTCAGAATAGAAGGCTTTGCTGTTTCTGCCTAATATCACGCATACAGTAATTTTCTGCATTACTCTCTCACATTACTTTGATTGTTGATTACAAAACTGTAATATCTAAAGAACTGTATGTAGCTCTTTCAGATGATTGTAACTGGTTTGAGAGCCACATCTTGTCTTTGTAATGTGTATTCTTTATACAAGAAAAAACTTACCTTGTAATTGCTAAGCATAATTTCTTTTTGTAAAAAAACAAGGTATTTTTAAAAGAGTAGATTTCAGTCAAATTTTGGGTTGACTGGTTCTACTGATAGTAGCAATTGTTGCAACAATTATTAACAGAAATACTCAGTCAAACCCTTGCACTGGAGGCTCATCCAGCACTTTTAATACCAAGCTAGCATTATCAGGCCCTTTATTAGTTCCTCTTAATAATTCTTTAAAAGGTTAAACAATTTATGTTCTATAGCAATATCTATACAGTCTTCATAGGCAAAAAGATATGTCAAGTATGTGGTTTAGCATCCTCACAGTTGTATATTTTTTGTTTTATTTTGATTTCTTACAACGAAGTTTGGGTATTATATTTCCCATTACTTGGGAGGGGAGTCAGAGTTTAATTATCTGAATCCATTTGATAATATCCATGACGGTTCTAAGACACAAAGAAGTTAAGAGCACTGTAGAATTCATTTTATTTCTCATCACATTCCTAATTTTTTAGATTCCTATTCAGTATTTTTTGGAAAGCTGAATTACTGTGAGAAAGCTTCAGGCATCTGGGCCTGATTGCCCCAAAGCAATGGGAAATTTATGTTAATGTCATCAGGCACAGAAGCTCCTAATCCCTGTTCGAACTGCACTAATTCAGATTTTAAGATTCATGCAGGCTCTTTTTTCCTGCTTTCCACATTTCCTTCAATTTTGCCCCTTTGGCTTGATTTTTTTCATCCTTTCTTACCGAGTTAGAGGATTAACTATCACCCAGTAAGTTATAAAAGTTTGTCAGACTGAATTTTAAAAGGTTGTGCACTACAAACTTCAAAGATACTGACGTTGTTAATTTGATTGAATTATCTTGCAGATGTTTGCTCAGTATCCTATGAGACTTCTTCCTAGAGAATGAGAACATATATTTGTTTGTTGACATTATCAGCCATGGAACAATGAATGGATAACATAGCTAGTCCAATAATTTCTCTCCAAAAATTGTAGGTATCTTTATCATGACATCTTTATAATGAGAGCTCAGTCATAATATTACATCCAGCTGGTATATTTGGGCATGAGCCGAAATGAACTGAGACTATTCTTCATTAACTGAATCCATCAAACAAGTGAAATATAACTTTTGCACATGTCTGCAGCAGGAAAAAGATAATATAAATGTCTTGCACAAATTAGCCTATGTCTGTTAAAAGAAGGTCTGATCCATGGCATGCTGAGATCAGGGAAAAGATTACAATGGGTTTTTAACCAGGCTTGTAGAAAGGAAATAGACAGAAGAATAAAGATTCACCCCATATGGCGATGAGAGAAAATGGATTGAAAGCACCACCAAAAGGTAGATTACAGTTTTTGAAATGGTTTTTTCCTATTTTCCTTCTCTAACTTACTGTAAACACTTCCTGTTTTCTAATAAATGTTATAGCCTGATTATGTGGTTAAGTTTTTACAGACATCAAAGACATCTTTTTAATCTTT